GTGAAATTATGATATGTACGATATTAGTACTGTTTCTAGTTGTCACATTAATTTTAAATTTTGGATATTCTAAGGAAAGATAATAATTGGAATTTGTTTGAACCTGGTTCTCATGAAACAAGTCAAACGCAGTAGTACGGACCAGTGATAAGTCAGGCGATATTTGATTTTTCACAGTATCTTCAACATCTTGAATTTGAAGTTTGAACTTTATGATCAATTACTCCAGAAAATGAATAGAAATGATTAAATAGAGCTTTTAACTATTGAATAGTGAGAAATGAAATACAAATACGTTTTATAAAAGCATAAAAGTAGATAGAAAATTAAGTTGAACTTTAGAGATCGATATCTATATCTCACGATAAGATGTTTAATGTAACATTCGAGCTTAAAGGAAAGTTAAAAAGTATATTGTTGGACGCAATATGTGTCAGTGCCCATCAAGAGGTTAAGCCGAGTTTTTAATGAGAGACTGAACATGGGAAGAAAAATAGAAAGCGTTCTGCGCGAGAAACTCGCTGAAAGGGACGTCAGAAATGGAAGAAAATTCCAGAAGAATAATTCAGTATACTCTTAACAATTGAAACTTTGTTTCCAATGAGTCACTGAACGCAACGAAAGAGAGAAAAGATATATATTTCGCATAAAAAGATTAGTAAAAATAGAAGAAAATTGCAGACGAATAATTTAGATTATTCTTGACTTTAGTGCCGTTTCCAATAAAATGTTCGGCGAAAGTAGGACGAAAAAAAAAAAATACTGAAAATTCCAAAGATCAGTCATTTCTAAAATTTCGTAACAATATTATTAGCATAAAAAGAGAAACAAAAGTCAGAACCGATACATTAATAATTAATACGAACGAATTAATAAATTAATAAATTATCATAAATGTAGATTAACGCAAATGAATTATCATAAATTAATAATTGAAGAGCAATTGTTGTTTATTATTAAAAAAGTTGATTAAATTACTTAGCTTGTAAACAATGACAACAGACTTCAAAGGCTGCAATTATTAATCCGTTGTCAATAAATTGAACAAAAGTTCAAAAGCCCCATCTCGACTTAAGTATTTAAAGGATTTCACTCGCGAAGGTTCATCATTGTTTCAAAGGCAATTAACATTGTTTGCCAAGCCTTGGCAAACTTGAATGCTTTTCGGTGTTATTGACTAATTAATCCAGCTCGCTGGAAGGAAACTTTCGAGATCCCTGGTTCGAGACTAAAAGTATATTTGCATAGCAGCCCGTTGGCGTATCGCATCAGTCGGAACGTTCCTGTCGTATTTCAATCGAAAAGAATATCCAAGTTTCTCGGTGAGATTGATGCTCAATTTTGAGAAGATCTGCAGGTAGATGGCGTTCTACTCGCATACTTTAAGGGGACGAAGAACTTCAAGTACTTTCAATCTAAATTGTTACATAACCTATAACCTATCTGACAGGCTTGGTTCTTCTCTTCGGTTCAGTTCAAATTGACATTCTTGATCGCCAGTTCCCTTCAGGTATTTTGGGACTTTCTTTCCCAGGAGCAACACATCATTCGATTTCGTCACGATTTTATTATTATCATTTTTATTACATTTTATTACATTTTATCTTTGTTAAATCTTCCGACGATTTTTAGTGCCTATCTCGGCTGGGAGGTTAGATTTCTCTATGACGGATAAGAATCCGCAACTTTCCTGCGGTCGAAAGTTCCTGAAACTTACAACTTGCTACTTCAATATTAAACTTGCTGGAGACAGGTTGCCAAGTAAACACATAAACGATGATACTTGGGAAAATTCCATGGAAAATTCGTTAATTAATATTTCGAAGGAAAATTCACAATGTTCCTAGAAAGGAGAATCTTCACGAAAGCATCGACAATGTATAACAAAATTAAAAAAGAAAAACTCACATTTAATATTTTTTATACAAAATAAAAATATATATATATATATCTAAGTCTCTGAAAAGTTACAAGTGACAAAAATTCTCGCTCGAGAAGACTTTAGATCTACACAACGTAAATCTCTTTATATTCTTATATTACATAACAAACTTTATACAAACTTTATATTCTTTATATTCTAAACACAAATGTTTATCGCTCTTCTGTCGTTTCTAGCCCTGGACAAATTCACCAAAACGAAATCTCTAAAATAGTCTCGATAAGCCCTATTGATAATGGTTAAATACTTGATCAGTGGCGGATAGAATTGCAGAAGAGAATGGAAAAAGACGATTGGAATGGGTTTGCCGCGCAATTTGCGGTGGTAACACATGTGACGAGCATTATCGAGTGCAATGAAAACGGAGCGGAGAAGTGGGTCGAGTGTTGCTGGTTCCCTGGTTCTCATTCGCTCTGTCTCTCTGTTATTGTTGTCGTGGAAACGGAAATGTATCGCGGCGGCTGGGGGACAAGTTCAAATAAGCATGCGAATCCCGGCTAAGAATCGATGTTGTTGGCCTATGAAGCTGGTCCCAGATTAAAGGAGATCGGCCCTAAACGCACACGCCACTGTGTGTGTAAATGTTGTTTGAACGCGACGAAAAATACCATTTTTCCATACCATGTAATCTTCATTCTCAGTTGATAGATAAATGTATCTATCTCAGTTGATAAATAGATGTTGGATGTTGGATAAATAGATGATGTATGTATCTCAGTTGATAAATAGATGTTGGATAAAAGAAATACAGGTAATAATTAGGCAGATGAAGAAGCTGCGGAGTGACATTCAGTGTGTCTGTTCATTGTTGAAATTTTTTTAGAACAATTGAAATAAGCGTTGAGAAGGTTGGAAACTTGGAAATGCGGACAATCACTAGAGCGCGACTGTTGAAATGCGATATTTGCATATCTTCTTTTTTCTTCTTTCGCGCATATCTGCATATTTTTCATGCACATTTGCATAGGCAAATTTTCCCTGTTTTCTGTACACAGTTTTCACACTTGCACATCTCTTTCATACACGTTTACCCACTCATTTTTCATATATAAATCAATTAGGTTTGAGGTAGAATTCACAACCATTCTTTTAATGTGTGATGCATCTTCCGGTTAATACAGACCGATGTTGAACTACATCTTGCAACATCTGTTGGGATTCATTTGCGAAACATTCCTTGTGTAAACAGTCATGATTTAATCAGACGTGGATTATATTTGAACGAGAAATCGTCTCTGAACTACTAACATGGCAGTTATATTTCAGTTAAGGTCGATGCACAGTTTTGATAAACGCTTTGTGCACCGATTCACATAGATCACACTTTCAAATGTAGAATGTACAATAGAATATTTTCTAATATAGAATGATTTTCAAATTTTCACCATTCTTGTTGTCTTCAATATAAAAGAATGTACAAAAATTGGCAAATAGAAGAGGACTACATATATTACAATTTTGGAACGCCTGTGTAGTGGCAACACGTTTCAGAATGCAATTTCGTGGGAATGCCTGGTTGCCACTTGACAGGCGCTTAAAATCTACGTTTTAAGCTTTATTTTATGAAATAATAAATTGAAACAAAAAATATATATATATATATACTTGCATATATAAGTACATTAAAAAAACATAAAAAGACACGTGTAATATATTTAATAATATTTTTAATAAAATAATTAATACTTTATATTATATTAATGACATAATATGTAATATAATATTAATATAA